ATTTTTAATTATTTTTATTAATTTCAATTAATATTTTATATATTTTTAAGATATTATGAAGCAATAAAACTTATGTATAGCACAAGTCAATGATAAACAAAGTCATAGCTTATTTAAATTCAGTTCAATAAAATAATAATAAATGAGACTATAATTTGAGATAATAAGGTAAGTTATTTAAATATTAAAAAATAAATATTATATTATTTAATAATTAATTCTTTTTATTTTTTAAAACTTGTGATATTGTATGTATCAACTAATTTATAAGAATGTGACATTAATTCTAATATATTTGTCCTTCCTATCATTACTTAGTTTATTATGGTCGTGCTCTTATTTTCTTTCTTTTGGTTTTTTTAGATTTTGTAACTTTGAACAAAAAATTATTAGTAAGATTATAGAAAAAAAGAATTAAAATAATTTTAATACTATTAAACAAGTTTTTACTTTTTATTAACAATGTTAAAACTTGTTTTAAACAAATTGTTAATTTTTAATTTTAATTTTCAATAATTACTAAATTTATAAAAACCAAATACTTTAAATTAGTCATTCATGATACTTCCACTATTAATTTCTCCTAAATACTTTTATTCTTATCCTTGTTTCACTTAAGTTTTAAAGCACAATTATTAGGCTTATATCCAACAATTTCATATATGCAGGAACTCTTTAATGGACGTCATAGAACCAGTCGTGAATATTGTGAAGGATGTTGTACCTACAGTTAAGAAATATTTCAAGTATCAGATATGTCACAATGATTATGTCAATGAATTCCAAGAAATGCAAACACAGTTGAAGCACCGACGGCAAGACGTTGAAAAAGGACTGCATGCTCAGCTTACGCAGCCTGGGAAGATTGCAAAGGAAGAAGTTGAAGCTTGGCTAGAGAAAGCAGACCAAGAAACTGCAGAAAAACTGGTTGAAGATCTAATCTGCAAAAGGGGCTGTTTCACATATATTTGCTCCTCAAGAAAGCTCGATAAAAGGACTCAATCATTGACTGAAGGAATATTTAAGCAAGGAGAAAAGTACACTAGTGCCGATGAGAGTTTGGTCGTAGATACTCCCTCAATTGAGTATTGGGCAACTGTATTTGAAGAAAAGCAGGAGAGGCTAAAGCACCAAAAGGAAGACGTTGAAGCAAATTTGAAGACTCAGCGTATGCAACCTGGAAAGATTGCAAGGAAGGAAGTTGAAGAGTGGCTAGAGAAAGCAGGCCAACAGATTGGCATAAAGGTTGAAGGTCTGATCAACCAAGGGGGATGCTCCTCTCTATCCAACCTCAGGAGAAAAATTGAAGAATTGAGGCAAATACATGAGCAAGGAAAAGAATTCACTAATGCTGCTGTGATTTTGGTCAGAGATGATCACTCAATCAAAGGATTTCCACTTCTCGTTGAAACATGTAGTGGCAGGGATGATATACAAGAAAAAATTCTGGAATGGTTGAAGGGGGACAAGGTTACAAGAATTGCAGTTTCGGGAATGGGTGGTGTTGGCAAGACAACAATTATGAAGAATGTCCACAACCAACTGTTGATTGAATCCAAATTTGAGAATGTTATTTGGGTAACAGTGTCAAAAGACTTTAACATTACTGTCCAACAAAAAATGAAGTTTAATATTCTCCAGTTTCAGAAAAAGATTGCAAGTAGCTTGAAACTAGAACGAGAGCCAGATCATGAGAATGAAACCAAGCTTGCTGCATTGATTTCACAAAGGTTGGGGCAGGGCAGCTTCCTGCTAATTCTGGATGATGTGTGGGAGCCTTTTTCTTTAGAAGATGTTGGAATTTCTAATCCAGTTGGAAATAATGGTTGCAAGTTAGTGCTCACGACACGGTCAAAAGATGTTGCTCGTGCAATGGATTGTAATGTGATCCATGTGAACCCTCTTCCACCT